CAAAATGGGTACTTCCAGACTGTCATCCATCATGATGTTGCCTGCGCAGGTACGAATAACGGCTACACTCAAGAATAGTAATTATGTGAACACAATAGCTAGTCAATTTTTCACTTATTGTGTTTTTGAAGTGGAAATAATATAAACTATTCCAAACCACATTAAATGAAGAATTAACCAACACTTCTATTGAGATGTTCACAATAATATCCCATTATTGATGCCTGGAAAGCGATATATGCAATGTGTAAATTATACTCGGCATATAAATTAACATAAATGAAGGTCAAAGTGGAAATATATGTTATGTGGCATTTTTAAGGAAAAATATATTTCCTTATAATTGTATTACTTAATGAAGGAAACTAGTCGACTGTTCTACATATCATGGGTGATAAATATTAAAAACGCAGTCTTTTAAAAAAAAAATAACTTTTTATTTGTGCCCAACGTTTCAACCTAAACATGTGGCCCTCTTCAGGGCGTGGTTCGAGCACTGAAGGCTTTCAAGTACTGGTAAGGCTTAGAGTACGTTTTTTTTTTTTTTAAAGACTGCGACCTGAATATTTATCACCCATGTATTACTTAATATATCTAAAATATTTCACATCCACGCGGCACAGTTGATATTATAAGTATTTAAAATAAAATAACAAACAAATGTGAAAAAAATATTCAACTTAATTCAAGATCCGAAAAAAAATGTTGGCACTATAGACCATATAGATCTTTGGCTGTGAGAGGTCTTCTTAAGACCTAAGTTGCTTAGTGTGCAAAGATAATTCTGGAGGTCACCTGACTTCACGTTGTTACGTACCATGGCCTCCATTGTGCAGCGATAAGCCACCCATAGTTTGGAAAGTGATAAATCGATCCAGATCCATAGATTATGGCAAGGGTTAGCAGCCGCACAAGGACCTATTTTCTCTCCTGAAATAGACCGTCCATGGACCGAACCTCCAGGCAGCCACTGACATCCTCGGAAAAATCTCATCTCGATTCCCAATTAAAGTACACGTAGTAGGTTAAATATTTCTACGTGTGGTCGGTGTGAGTTGCGTCCAGCAAATAGCCTCACATATACCAGGTAGTTTGGTTTTCCCCATTCTAGTCCGCATATATTTATAATTTAAGTCGATATTATAAACAATATTATAGCAATAAGGCAAAGTAACATAACCAAATAGTCCATGGTACAGATCCCTTTTTATCAAATTAATAACATCCAGCTGAAACTGGGTAAATAGCTTCATCTCATCGTAACCTACAAATATCTTATTTACGAAAATTCTCAGAATTGGGGAGTTTTAAACCTGAAATTCGGCAAACTTTGTTTATTTAATTAGGTACTAAAAACTGGTAAATATCCATTTGTTTTCTACTTGGATTGTAAGGTAATTTTATCACAACATCGATAAAAAAGGTGGCCTACAAAAAAATAAAAATATTGGGCCGTTTGGTCTGTATGACCTATTTATTTAGACAATTTGGGGGTGTAGGTCACACCAAACAGCTCAATATTTTTGAAGGCCACCTTTTTCCTCTACTTTTTGCTAAAGTTATCTTACGATTAAAGTGTAAAGCAAATGGCTATTTACGAGTTTTTAGTACCTAATTAAATAGACAAAGTTTTCCGACCACCAGATTAAAAAAAGCCCCATTTCCGAGAATTTTCTTAAATAAAATATTTGTACAGAACGCTTTTTATAAAATTATTTACATCCGGCTGAAATAGCTTCATCTCATCCTAACCTACAAATATCTTATTTACGAAAATTCTCAGAATTGGGGCGTTTTAAACCTGAAGTTCGGCAAATTTTGTCTACTTAATTAGGTACTAAAAACTCGTAAATATCTATTTGTTTTATATAAATAAATATCCATTTAATCGTAAGAAAACATGAGCACAAATTCGAACAAAAAGGTGGCCTTTAGAAATATTGAGCTATTAGACGTGACCTACACCGAATCGTCAAAATAACGAGATTATATACGCCAAACAGCCCAATATTTTTGTAGGCCACATTTTTTATCGATTTTGTGATAAAATTATTTTAAGATCCAAATGGAAAGCAAATGAGTATTTACGAGTTTTTAGCACCTAATTAAATAAACAAAGTTTGCCGGCCTGCAGTTTTAAAACGCCCCAATTCCAAGAGTTTACGTAAATAAAATAGTTTTAGGTTACAATGATATGAAACTATTTACGAAGTCTCAGCTGGATGTTAATAATTTGAAAAAAAGAGGTTTGTACCACGGATTAATATTGACGCCAAATTCGATGTCATAAAATATTAATGTTATAAATAATAATATTGTACGACAAATAACTTAATATTACAAGAATGCAAAGCAAATATAATAAATTCTGTAACATTATGCACGTTCTAATTTATAGATTGCAATATGAAAGCATGACAAAAAAAATATGATTTAGATAGACCTGATAGCATTTTGATTGTTAACAGACCTTCAGAAAAGCTTATTTACACAAGTACACCATAAAAACACTGACGGGGATCTATCACTGGGATATCCAGGGTCAAAATTACAATGCTTATAAAGATAACCGGTGTCAATAATTCTTTATTACGTTCATACTTTACATGCTGCCATAAACTGAGATAACGTATTCAAATGGTTAAAGTGGTATTGATAACTAATCAAATGATTTTTTAGTAACGTGAGTTTGATATGCTGCCAATCCAATATTCAAAACTTCAAACAGAGGATATAATTTAGCAGAATAGTAGAAAATCTCACTTATAATTAAGGAGTATTCTATCAATAGGTAATATAACCTTCTTTGATGGGGCTACAACTCATTAAGAGTCATTTTTTTCTTTCGGACCCACCCCTTCATAGCCTTTTAGGCTACACGGGGATTTTTTCGGGTCAGGGGAGAAGAAAGGGGATAATGTAAGAGATAAAAAGCCCCATCGACTCATTAAGTATGAAGCCTTTAGTTTTCCATAATCTGTTTTCTCCAATTTCTAATACCCAGCATTCTCTAGAAACCAACTGCCATACAGTATATTCAACGAAGGAAAGATCTACCGACTTGCCGGGGCACGAAAATCATTTTCTCCTGGAGCAATGAACCTCTCCCACCCCCTTTCATGATATTTTATTGCTTACTTCTTCTTAAAAATAGTTCAGCGGAAAGTAGGATCAGGAAAAACCGAAGATTATATACAATTACACTACCGTCGTTTAAAAGTTTTCCTTCTATCCGTTGATTTGAACCTTTTCATGCCTAAAATTCATAAACCCGTCAAAATGTACTCCCCTCAAAAATTTAGATGCAACCTCCTTCTAGGCACTTCACCATCATTGCCGATTTGTCGTGCAATATGTTCTGCCGACATCTTATTCATCATACCATTGTCATCATAGAGATATATAAGAATTTTATCTCGATTGTCAAATTTGAATCATTAAAACAAAAAATATGTTTTATTAGAGAAGAATAAAAATTTTGGTTATTTTTACTTTCACTTTCCTATATATAGTAAGGGACAGTATTGCGATCGTGCAAATTTTCGTTTTGAGTTCTCAACGGAGATACATGCTTTGAAGTCTCCTCAGTCCAAATAACCAAGTCCCATAAAATGGTCTGTGTGTGTGTGTATGTATGTGAACAGTCAAGCTCAAAAACGGAAATGCGTATGAAAGTGAAATTTTATATTTAAGGTTGGTACATACCTTGTAAGTTACTTTTTCGTAAAAATCGGCTAACCGGAAGTGCCACTTTATATAAATTGTGAAGCACATTTTTACTTTTCTACCTATAATAGGTAAGGAAAGTATTGCGATCGGGTCAAATTTCCCATATGCGGTTTTCGACGGATCTATACGTTTCAGATCCCCTCGAGTCCAAAATACGTTTTTAGTCATTGGTCTGTCTGTCTGTGTCAAGATTTTGTCGGGAACTAGTGAACCGATTTTGTCGCTTCTTTTTTTATTTTGCAGGGTTTGCCTGTGACACAAATTGAGTGTTCCATGCCCAATAGCTGCTGAGCAATAAATGAAAAACATGTTATTCTATAGACCGTAGGGAAAAAACGGATCCAACGATTTTGATTGAAACTTTCCTATGATGTTCTAATAATTATCTTTTCAATTTTCGAACATGGACTGAATTCCCGAAAAAAAATTCAGGAAAAAAAGTTATATAGAAAAGAAAAATGTTTTGGGATCTAACTCGCTAAGTATACATTCTATGATGAAATTTATAATAAAACTTTTGAAAGGTAATTAAATTACCAACAAAACAAAAACAAAATCATTGGAATCGAACCAGTATTAGCGATGATACAGCGTATTCTATTTTCTTAACTATAACTATTTTCAATTAATTAACAACTATTTTCTACACATGTTTCAATTTACTACTTTCCAAAACCTATACTAGGAAAGGTACTGAAATTCCCTACAAAACTATATAAAAATCATTATTTTCGAACAACTATTAACGAAGTTACAGCTATTTAATTTCTAATGTATGATAGGGGTACATATCCTAGTGTCAGAAAGATGAATGAGATAAAAAAGATAAGTTAGTGAAAGTGAGAAAATCTGTTCCTTACACCACACAAGCTTCACTATTACCTCCACTTTTAACAGAAATTATTGTTTGACAAAATTAGGCTATAGCAAAAAGTTTTTGATCAGCAATATTAGAGGGTCTTGAAATTTTCACACTGATCTACCTTAAGCTGGTTTACGGTACTTTAGTTTATCAAATAAATCTAATTCAATTTTTTTGTTTCTTGATGGACATATGTAAAGATATAAAAACTTTTCTGAAATAGGTAGGAAAGTCGTGGACACATCAGATTTTTTTTCTTGCTATGCGTTGAAAAATCTCTGATGTTAAAAACATAAAATTACAAGAATTATTTACTTACAACACTTTATAATTTTGATAAATTGGACTTACAAGGTTTTAGAAGTAGGCCTTCAATATACTGATAATAGATGTTATTCTATTTTTCTAGAAAACAAATGGGGAATAAGACACATCACTGGAGTAATGGGCTTTTTTACGATAGCCTTAGCATACATCCAAAGATTCTGCCTCAGTTTAGCAATCACCGAAATGGTCAATTATCATTCAGAGGGTGGCAAAATTGATGCACAAACATGCCCTTTCGAGCAGAATACTACTACAGAAATAAAATATGTTAGTATATATTCCAATTTATAAATCATAAGTTATAAATTTTCTGACTTTATTCACAAACATATAATTTATTAATTTCAGAGCGGAGAGTTCAACTGGGATGAAGAAACTCAAGGCCTCATTCTGAGTTCCTTTTTCTGGGGCTATATTATAAATCATGTCCCGGGAGGTTTGATGGCAGAGAGGTGGGGTGTAAAATGGGTGCTCGGAGTCAGTATATTTGTATCCTCGAGTTGTACTTTTATTACACCACCAGTATCCAGGACATTTGGTTCATGGGGGCTCATTTTTCTCAGAATTGTCATCGGCCTTGGACAGGTAACTCACCTAATTTAATTAATATGAAAACAAAATAATTTATTCACAGCTTAAATGCTGAATTATACTTAATTATTACTGATTTTGATTGTTGAAATAAATAAAGCAACGATAGTTCCAAGTCAAATTACTCAATAATTTCATAATAATTACATATGATTGCGAACATTTGCTATGAACTATTTAAACAGCTAAAAAGAAATATTATCTCAATTTGGAGATTTCTTTTCTGAGCTAACATAAAAACTTCAAAGTAGTAACTAATTTACTTATCATTCATTTCTATATGCTGACCGTAAACGCCTCTTTATGCTTTGTTCTTATGTTCTTATGAAGTTCCAATACATTATCAAGTAGTGAGCATAAGATCCTTAATTTTTTAACAATGGCACATTTATCTATATTTCACTTTAATTATAAGACCCATTCATTTAGCTTAGGATACTTGCCTAACTTTCACTTTATTTTATCAACTTACATAATACAAACAAGTCAAAAATGGATGAAATACTATAGATAAAATAAACAAAACCGAAACAATCCTGAATTAGTGTATGTTTCATTCAAATTGATGTAATTAATATAAGGCCATTATCAACAATGCAGAACAAAAACCTTAACTATTAAAAAAAATAACTATTAAAGCATGCCCTCTAAAAAATTTCTAAAAAAAAAAATGTGTACAAATAAATGAAAGAAAAATATACAAGAAAATAGAAAATTGAGATGTTTTTACAAAGCCTATTCTATAAGGAACATAAAAATTGAGAATCACATTATATTTCTTTCTAAATAAATATTTAAATCCTTTAAAATAAAAGAGGAATTCTTTTTCACCATTGTGTTCTGTTTTCACAGACATTCTGTTTTCCTGCTGATATAGTATAAAACTAATTAGAGGTGCAAGAAAATATTGAACTCATTCACACTGATTTGATTGCTATGTTGATAAATATTATTTATTTAACATTATAAAACTTATATTTTTTTATTTGTTTAAAGGGTCCTGTTTACCCAGCATTAAATGTGCTATTGTCAAATTGGAGTTCAGCTAATGAGAGAGGGAGATTAGGAGCTATTGTTTTTGCTGGTGAATATTGGAATTATTATATAATTTTTTTTTATTATTAAAGAGAATCTTTTGGTTGGAACCATACAAGCAAAAGTTTCAACATCTCTTATACACAGATTTGATTAGTTTTGGGAAACTACTTGTTTAACAATTAAGTGGGAAAACTGCTCAGATGTTGACAGTTTAACAGAGACATCAGTGGAACTATTTTCACACTGAGGCAAAATTATGCTAACCTAATAGTCGAAAAAGTATTGTGCACAAAGTTAACTTAGTAATATTGAGATTGGTATGTATTTAAGGTAGGTATATGCCTGGGGTGTTGGAGCAAGTTTATAGCTGAAATCGACTAACCAGAAGTGGCAGTTCATATTAGCGATTTTACTGTTGTTTACAATTTTATTGAAAATTAATTTAATGGTTTTGACTAAACTCATCATATAAATATAGAATTAAATGGTCTTTAATATCTGATTAGTTAATTATTGGAAATAAGATTAATAACGCAGGTGACTAAAATACCGTTGCTTTGATAAAGCCAATTCTTATACACAGCTCTAAGACCTGAACATTAATGAGCACCTCAGAAAAAAGGATCGAGAGGAAAACCAAACAATTGTTCATTGATTATAATAAACCAAAACATGTACAAAATATTATAGACTGTATCTTTGCTTATAATGGTCAATTTCAATCACAAGTGTCTGTCTTAAGGCACCTTTTGTGAGAACAGCCATGATAAAGGCCTGAAACTTGAGATGAAACATCGGAAAAAAATATATTTATTTTTCTTTTTTATTATTATTTATGAAATTTACCACTGTATACAAATTAATATTCATTCAGTAAATGTGATACAGAGAAATGCATGGCATGGCAAGGCTTGTAGATAATCTACTCATTGGTAGCACTCTATTAATGTATCTAAATTAGGAGATCACGAGACCATCTTCATTTCTGAAGTCTAGACAGTTTATCAAGGATCGAGGAGGAAGCAAGGTTTAAACGAGATGATTCCGACGGTTCTGAAGTTTATTATGGAAGGATAGGTATCTGGATTGAGCCAAACATCATAAGGAGCATTAAGGTCATTATGAATGATTTTATTAATGAAGAAGTAAGGAGTATTGAGGATTTTGGACTATAAGGATTGGATATCAGAGGAATTTGATAATTTTGTGGAGCTCCAAAGCTCAACTCCATAAGTTCAAATAGGCCTTAGTATAGTCATATATGAGTCTTTTGAAATTAATTGAGATCTTAGAGACTTTTTTCTAGTAAGTAATGAAGTAGTCGGAAACATCAAGAAGTTTCTTGTCGTTTCAGTGTGATATGGGGATTCCAAGTTAGACATTTGTCCAGGTGGAGTCCTAGGTATCGGATTTGTTTAACAGGGATAAGTTGGGTATTCTTAAAGTATACTGTAGGACAGGAAGTCATAGGTTTAAGATAATGTGATTTAAAAATAAATATAATTTATTTATTTTTACTTTGTTATTTGTTTGACTAAACACCCCAACCAACTTCTCTTCAATATATCTAAGACAGTCAATTATTAATCCACTATCACAAATGAGATACTTTTTGAATTATGTATTAATAAAGTTTCTTTTTCTTCAAAACATTTTTTCCTGGAATTTTGGAAGGATCCCAAATTTTTTCCCACTTTGTGGAGGAGATAATTCTCAAAATGAAGGTAGAATACGGTTTATGCCATTAATTCGTACATATTAACTATATTTTAGTGCTTTAAAACACAGAGCCCAGTATAGTCCTTTAGTAATTTTTTTGTGAATTCATCTTTTCAGGAGCTTATGTGGGCAACTTTATTTCAATGGCAATATCCGGGATAATCATTTCCTTCTTGGGTTGGACTGGAGTGTTTTACATTTTTGGAGGAATAGGAATTGTGTGGTTAATCATTTGGATGATGGCTTATCACGACACACCATTGGACCATCCTTATATCAAAGAAGATGAAAGAACTCATATAACCACAACATCTGGAAAAACTTGCTACAAAGATGTGCGTATAATTAAGTTATTAACATTTTAAGTTCACCTCTTGGTTAATAATTGATTTTTACAAAGTTTATAAATGACTAAATCATAAACAAAAAATAGTAAAGATCCGATTGGCAAAATTAAAGGCTTATTCTTGAAACAACCGATGTCCGGAAAATAAACAAACTTATAAACTACTGCTCCCTAATTTCTGATTTAATCACTTAATCACAGTGGAAATAGAAGGTCTAGTATTTTATGAAGGTAATTTATCACATTATCCTATCATTACATTATAATGCTGATAATTTCGTTACTTTTTGAAATAATGTGTTTGATTTTATTTGTTTCTTTCTTATACAAAAAATTGTATAAATATAAAGACACTATCTTAACAGTTTATCTTTTTTTTTTTTCAAATTCATAATGTGTTTTACTGTAGTATATTGAACCTGGAGATGCTTATAGAATTTTCTTATAAGCCCAGCAAATCTGGTTGAAAATAAAAAACATTTCAATCCATTTTGTAGGTTTTTATGACAGCTGAGGCACATTAGTGAAAGTCTTATTAGGTCCACTTATTAGTGTCTTTTGGCTTCATTGACCATTCATTAATTTTGTTTAACCCTAGAACTACACACTTAAAAAAGTCAACTCATTCTGACACTCTGGAGTGTGGTACACCCCAAACTATAAATTATCGTAAAATTTAATTGTCATGTTCTGGAAGACTCAAATACTTTTCAGAAACAAGCTAATCAATCAGGAAAAAAAACGCATAAATTGAAGGTAACTTTAGAAAATATATTTTCTGTGCTAACATAAAGTAAAAAAATAACAAAAAGGATCAATATTTTCAATTGAAAATACATTAAGTTTATATCAATTAAATATATAAATATATATATATATATATATATATATATATATATATATATATATATATATATATATATTTGGAATCTAAAATATATAAGGAAAAAAGTATTTTTTTTTTTTTACTTGAACAGATAATAAAACCTATAGTGGGGGCCATTAATGTGACCACTCACTCACAACAATCCCAACAAACTGCCCCCCTGTGTTTATTGCAGATAGGTCTCTCACATTGCTAACAAACCATTTTTGTCTTCATATCTTGCTTTTCCACAGTAGTCGTTTATTTTTTAATTCTCAAAATTAAACACTGTTCATTTGAGTGTCTCCACTTGCAGCCTTTTTTTTTTCAAACAGGACTCAAGTAAGGAATAGCCTAATCCAAATAAATAATTTATCCATTTCATCTTATTTTCTCAGTTAACTAAGCTGAACAATATCATGCTGTTTAAACCAGCATGGTCCAACATTCTAAATAAAAAACGGAAAAACAGCCTCCTTTTTTTCTTGCTGTTTATTTAATATGTTCCATGTATCTTTTCTATATCTTCTAAATCCCATGACAATTTATGGATTTCTTCAGCAGAAGATTACAATTTGTTTGTAGTTGCATACTAAAAAAATAGTTTCTATACATTACCCTCTGAATTGAAAATACCACTAATTAAGAAATATAACATTAGAAATCCACACCAAAATATTCGAAGTTTGAAAATAACAAAGAAAAAACTGGGATACAAACTCCACAGTATAGTTGGACAGCACAATGGGGTGTGAGGCACCCAGGAGGAAGAGTCAGGTAAACAACACACTGGGGTGTGGGATACCCCATAATAATTTTTGATAACTCCCAATAATGATATAAGCCCAACAATGGAGTGCTAATGACTGTAATTAGCTGGGCTATGTATGATATTTATTTACATTAAAAACAACGTGGCCAAAGAGCTATTTATATAAAATTAAATTAATATTGAAAATGTTGTGGTGAGTGTCACACACCAGTGTGTCATTCTAGGGTTAATGAATCTAATGAATTACACAATAAAAATACTTTCGTTTTCAGCTTCCAGGTACTCCATGGATTCCTATGTTGACATCTGTTCCACTTTGGGGATTGGTCATCGCTCAATATGGTCATGACTGGGGCCTATTTACTATAATTACAGACCTGCCGAAATATATGAGAAGTGTTCTACATGTCTCAGTCAAAGAAGTAATTGCATTACATTAAAATTATTAAAAGAAACTGAAAGAAAAAAAAACGATACAACACTGAAAACATCATTTTCTGTTAAAATTAGTATTCCTCATATCATGTTATTTCATCTTTGATCCAGCTTGTAGGGAGTAGGTTAGCTCAGTGAATAAGGTACTGTGCTCCTATACTCAAGGTTCCAGATTAGAGTATGGCTGAGGCAGATAATCATTCTGTCATTGTAATTATAACAGCCTCTATACAGTGGTGACTCTAAATTAAATAATTATTTAAGAGGAAAACCTGGCAGCTGAGGATGATCTAAAGTAATTAACCTCTTTGCAAAACTAAGAAACAGTACTTCTTCACTAATTACTGAGTCCCAAACTCTCCAGGGGTTGTAGTGTTTTTTATTTTCAGTTTGAACTTTATATTACATAAAAACATTATTAAATATGATATTACATTCAGGAATAATAATTGGAACAGAAAGTGATGTATTCAGTTTGCAGTCCAATCTCACTAAAATAATTATTTCATTATTACTTGGTGTCTGATGGGATTAATTACAAACCATGTATGAATCTTGCAGGAAATTTCATCCTGAACAATATCTGTTGTTATGAATTTCGTACTATACTGAACTAACAAATAGTTCTTATATTTGATATTTTATATATTTTAATGCCCTCCCTAACTCAGTAGTTGTTCTGAATTGTCTGGCATATTAATTATAAATCATGAAGAAAATGTTCTTTAATATCACATTTTTTGGCTAAAATGCACAAGAAATGAGTTATTAAGGAAAACTAAAAAATATTATCTTTTCTTAGGGCTTTATAAGAGGGTAGAAAATACATAAGAAATGGGAGGTTGAAAACCTGGATTTTTAATTAGGGGACCAAAACATATAACATATCTACAAATCAAAATTATTCCACTTTTTTAGCTCAATCATGTGACCAGATGATATTGTTGAAGAGTAAAGTGTCCGACTTTCACGCTGTAGATTTGAGTTTGGATCCTAATTCAAAGAATTTTTTTGATGAAGAAGAAGGAAAAAAGATAAGTAAAAGAGCCTAGCTGTGTGCACAGACTTGAATACTGAATGTTGTTATAATTGCATTAGTGTGTTGTTATGCAACGCTTAACATCACACTACTGCACACATCCGTATTGCCATAATGGCTTGGGAGGTTGGAAAAAAAAAAAAAAAAACTCAATCATGCTGTTTTACTGAGCAAAATAAAATTCAAAATTTTTAATTTAAAACTCTGGGTATGAAATAATTGACAGGTGTTGATTTCATTGTTTCAATCATAACTAAAGGGTAGCTAGGTTTACATCTCCAGATTAAATGAAAAACTTTGTGGCACTCTATCTATAAAATTCAATAATAACAGATATTGTCGATTAAAACCATTTTGTTTAACCTAAGTTTCTATTCTAATAGCAGTAAATAACTAAACAATCAATGTTTCACTAGCTCTGGCATCTTAAAGATAGAATAACATAAGATGACAAATGCAGATTAGAGATTAGACATCTCACATCAAAATTCTCACCTAAATTTTCAAATTATCAAGTGGATAGTCATTTAAAAGACAATGCTTTGAAATCTTCTAATGATATCTTAAGAATATTTTCCTATATATATTTTTTTTCGTGATCTTACAGAATGGAGCTATTTCTGGTTTACCATACCTGGGCATGATGCTTTTTTCAGTTATAACTGGATGGTTCGTTGATTTGTTGATTGTTAAATTTAAATGGAGTACATCACTAGTGAGGAAGATTTTTATTACAATAGGTAAGTGTTGTGGATTACAGATGTTATCACACAATTTATCTTCAATCAACATATTTAATTTATGTTCAAATGTTAAAAGTAACTATCAATAGTCTGTCAACCCAGTTGCATTATACCAGCCTAGAATATATAAATCAGATGAAGGACATGTATTTTAATATGAGTTAGGTATTATCTTGAAAGTTGTGTGAAGAATTACACCAAATATTTATATTTGCAAACAGGAACTAAGAAATTCATAACATTATTTTAAACTATTTTTTCAGCATCAGTTGGGCCTGCTTTTGGAGTTGTAGCTGCTTCCTATTCTGGATGTGATATGATTTCAGCTACAGTTTTCTTCGTCTTCGGAATGACCATTATGGGTGCATATATACCAGGTTTGAAAGTCAACGCGCTGGACCTTAGCCCGAATTATGCTGGAACTTTAATGGCCTTGGTTGGAGGGATAGGAGCCATATCTGGAATCGTAACTCCATACCTTACCGGAATACTCACACCTAACGTAAGCCAAACTCCTTCAAAGTATTATCCATTGTGTAATGTTTCATAATTTGCAGATAATGAATATAATGTGATAATCTCAAACAATAAAATAAAAAGTGGACATATATCTAACTAGTCATTAGATACATTAAATGGAAAATTTCCAATTTTGTATTTTTTCATTCTTAAAAAATAAATTATGAATATTAATAAAAGCTATGATATCAACATTGACTGCTTCCACAGAAATCCAATTACTTACAAATTCTATATTTTAAAACTTATTGGACAGGGACATAGTGAAATGCTGTTCTAGCTACATACAAATTTTATGGGAATAAAATGGTGTCTTAGGGCACTGAAATGGGGACCACTATCTTAAATGTTACTTATTTAAATGAAGGAAATCAGGTTTCTATTTAATTATATTTAAAATAAACTTCATATCCACACGGCACACTTGATTTTTAAAATAATGAATAAAAATGAAAAAAGAACACCATCCGTTTATTGCAATAAGTCACAAGTAAGTGGAGGCTACAGTCAGTGGGTCATTGATTCCAACCAATATTTTTTTAGTGATACTTCATTGAAAAATATTCGACATGTATCCAGGAATTCGTTCGGGTGTGCTCTAGGAGCCGAGAAAAATTATATTTTATATTCCAAACAAAATTTATGTAAATTATTCTGGCCTTTGCTTGCCCAGATTTTTAGGCTATTATATATCAAATTATTTCTTTTATTTATTTTTTTGTTACATTAAGAAAGGATTTATAGACTATGGTATTAAATGAGTTATAATGTATCATAAATTACAAAAATTAAAAGACGCTTCCAGTAAAGTAGGCCAAGTATTTTTATTATGAAATTTTTATTATGAAAAAGCAAGTACTGTGAAACTCTTAAATACGCATTTCTATAGAAATCAAAAATTGTAAAATTGTATACTTATTTTTTTAAAGAATTTTTTTCTGGCTGATAACTAAATCATTAATAACACCTTAGGATGGACTCCAAATTCAACGTCAGTACAACCATTAGGAAGCTGAATTGCCCTAACCAATCAAATTCTTAATGATTAGAGATTATGAATTGTCAATTAATGACTTTTTGGAATAAACTGGCTGCATTTTCTACTTAATTCTGCATGGAACTTGAATATTCCACAATTAAACAAATACAACTCTGAAAATACTAACTATATTTTAAACCATCCTTCTTAATATAACCCATATAGAATCACTATTATTATCGATATAATTTCAACTAAACATTTAGTGCACAAATGTACACTATGCAATAAGTTCAATATTTTTGAGGACGCATGGATATTATTGATTGGAATATAAATTTTTGGAAGGAACCGTATTTTTATTATTTCAAATCATGATGGGATAAACTTTAAAACAGAGAATCAAAGAAAAAAAACACATAGAATATACCACAAGTGTAATTCTATATGAAATAATGGCATACATTTTGAACTTAATATTTTTATTATATATATACATAGTCTTGAAGCTCAAAAAATATTCTAAACAAATAAATATAAGATAATGAACTATATATTGCCATGACGTAGCGGTGTATCCACTACTTTCTGATTATTTTTTTCAAATATGTGCTAGAAAGATCCATCCAATTGATCCAAGGATTTACTTAATTTTTAAGAAAAGGAGATCTATTAAAGTTTTTAAAAAGCGCCATCTACCTTGTGGGGATGAGCATCCTCATCACAAAAGATATAACTAATAAAGGGATTACACTAAATAATGGCTAAGTTAATAAAGAGTAGGGGATGTACATATATTGTTCATAGAGTATAATAGAAATAATGTTCAAAAAGTCGGATGCCTTTTAAAAACTACCTATGATTTCTTATGTGATTCTGTTACTATTTTTGTTAAGTTATGATATACCAGCTAATATTACTTTTCACAATTTCCAATAATATTGATTACTTTTCTAGAGCACCCTACTCGAATGGAGGTTGGTATTTTGGATATCTTTTGCTGTGATCATGGGTTCAAACATGGCGTACCTCATCATGGGAACTGCTGATACCCAATGGTGGAACGACCCCGACCAAGTACGAAACTACAACAATGGAAAAGAGAAGAATAACGAGCAGGCATCATAAATATTACAAATAATTTATTTCATATTTTGTTCGACTGTACAAGTGACACTCCACTTTGATGAATGGCATAAGACGACACGATCACACTATAAATGGAATCCCGAGAATGGCCGAGTCTGTCCAAAAGTAGACAGAAGTCATCCAACCATCTGGTAAGGTCTCTATCTCAACTCAAAAGTAGGCTTTGGAGGTTTGTTTAATTTAAAAAGATTTATAGTTCAAATCCTGGTACTCGGTGGAAATTTTAACTTAGCATAACTTCCCCACCCTCTCCCCCGGACCGGGAAAATCCCTGTGTAGCCTAAAAGGTAATTAAGGGGAGAACACAAACTTAAAAGGCCAGCAAGGAATCTGCCGAAGTCGTAAATCGCATTCTAAATAAAGAGAGATTATAATGTAAATAATTTATCAATCTTTGGCTATTCCTGAAATATCATTTATAATGTGATCATAGAATCTTGGCCTCCTCAAAGTGGAGTAACACTTGTATAATGGTACCTTATATTTTAAGTAATATAATAGAATCTATATTTTAATGCATATCCCAAGAAGTGGTCGGATATGTATTATTAGCATATACTTTTATATTAATCGAGCTTGTATATAGTTTTGTTTTTATCTTTGAGTGCTATCACATTAATTTAGGTCTGAGAAAGTCTGGCGAGGTCGGCTAGTTGGCGATCGCGGAGGGCCCCCAAGCTAAGGGACCTCGGAGCAAGCTCCGAAATCATGGTTCCATATTTTTCTAGTACCTCTAAAAAAATTGTTTTGTACTCGTTTATTTCAGCAAATTTTTACGACCCCCCCGATGGATCCCCAACATAAATGTTTTATACTTTTATATTGAACGATACATTTACTTTCCATATTTTAAGCCCAATAGGTACTATTTTTTTTTATAAAATTAATATCGAACCAATTATGAACTTAAATTCTGAACCTAAAAGAAAAAAAAAGTTTATTAAATGCTTGGTAATTCCGTAAATGTTTGGAGTCACTCCATAGAATGATTGAGAAGTTCTGTGTAAGGGCTCTGAATGTCTTTATTGTGTGTTTATCTAGTACCGTTGTATGTTTGGCCGCACAAATAATTGTTTTGTAAATTCAGATAAATTTGTTATGTACTTAAAATATTGGAAACCATTTATACATATAATCCTAATAAGGGGGGCCCACTTCAGACTAGCGGATGGCCTCAGACCAGGCCGCGTATTTACAAACACTATACGGATTCAGACACTCTGTCTGTGCTCATCTAGGGTTTGTAAGGTCCCTGGGAGCTGGCCCATTACAAACCCTATACCGATTCAGACAACTCAGCTCTGCTTGCCCCCTGGGGAACTTCAGTTGTTTAAAATAAATAAATAAAAAAAAAAAGTATCTATATCTATATATATATATATATATATATAGCCGCGCTTAAAAGTTCCCTTTGAATGGTTTTAACAAAGACAAACTGTATTTGTATTTGAAGGAAATTGTGTCTAGTTTACTATAATGCAATTTTTAATTACCTGAATTAAAAAAATGTTTGTACTATCACTTATATACATCAAATGATTTTTTTTGGTGGAAATTCTGTCTAGAATCACGTCCATATCATGTGTTGTTTTAAATTGTTAACAAATAAAAATAATATTTTTATAATTATTGCTATTTAAAATATATAAATTATTTTTTTTAATGATTCATACTTAGCACTTACTATTCATCTTGTCTTTTGACAATATTTTATGTCAGTAAAAAAATATTTAAAATAAAATTAATTTTTTTTGTTTAAATTAGATATTGTTTGCGTTCAGCAATCTTTATCTATAATTTTTTTTTCTAAGAAAAACACAATATTTTTAATAAAAGGTGCTCATTATTATTTTCCTATTTATTTTACTATAATCTTAGCCCTTATTATTTTTTTAAATTATTTACACTTAGCACTTATTTCTGTTGCCTTTTGACAGTATTGTTTGTCAGTAATAAATGAATTGGAACAAAATTAATAATTTTGTTTATATATACAAATATATATGACCATTTATCAACAATAATAATTAATATATAATAATTTTAAACGACTAAAGTCCCCAGTGGGCAGACAGTGCTGAGGTGCCTGAATCGGTATAGGGTTTGTAAAAACACAACCGGGCCCGTTCTAGGTGTCGATAGCTATGGGACAGTTGCGACAGGTCCTCCCAATGCTTGCAATGGTTCCAATCGTCCCCACCGATACTTTTAATACGTTCATGTTCATGTACGAGTAAAAAATAACTTATAATTTAACACATTTATGTTAACCAAAGTAATATAATACATATAATAAGCTAGTAGTATATCTTTGTCTATAAGAAATTTCTTTTAAGCCGCGATAGCACATTACCTAAGCCATGGTAACCACCAGAGTATAAATTTCCATGACGTCATAAGATTTAGAAAAAGTTTTTTTTCTTTAAAATGTCACATACCAATGTTTTCAGAATTTTAAATTGAGTGGATGATTCACGAATACTAAGTTTTTCACAAACACTTAAATTAAACTTTGGATGGGGATTATACGATCATAATATTAATAAATCATTCAAAAGTTTATGGGATCTATAATATTTTCCGCTATAGAGAAGTGTCCACCAAGAGAAGTTTCAGTTTATAATATGGTTCCCGTCCCCTATTCATGTGATCAAAACGGCCCCCAAGCAAATTAGCTACTTTCATTCATAATTAAATAATTGTCCAACTAAAAACAAAAGGTTCTACATAAATGTTTATAATGATTTTTTTCTTTTATTAGAAATAATATGAATTTTAATGAATTCATCCGTTGAAGAAATAACATTATGTGAATGCAATGCCTTAGACAATTGATGCTCTCCGGGAAATGAAGTCATCTCTACCAAAAAATTTGATTTATTTCTTAATTGAATAAATTCATGTTAAGTAATATCTTAAATTAAAATTAATTATGCTTATACACTATGTAATGTTTTTTAATACCTTGTAATGACACCGTCCATGCCTGGATTGCTATGCCCTAAGGCCTGCATTATGCTAATGCATAAAAGATGTATATAAATGTAAATAATGTGCATGGATATTTAATTAGACTGAACAATTGTACAAATGTTTTATTTACGTAGAGATTGAAATTTATTTATATACAAATTAAATATATATAATATTTTATGTACTGTTTCAAATAAATTATTTTAAAAAGTGTGTGGTGAATTTATCATCACAAAATAAGAATTAATTTATAATCAGTTCTGAATTGATAGGAAAGTCATTCTTGGTCATCTCATAAATATATTTAAAAACAAGTTCTAAAAGACGTAATGGCTATTATTCCTTCCAAAATTATTAGACTTTCTCACCATTGTCATTCTAATTGTAATTACAAATTAGCTCATCAAGCCAGACCTATAAACTTTTAACCCCTGCATCTACCTTTATAAAATTAGACACCCCTATGCTATGTATCCTTCAGAAATTATTATAATTTGTTCTCAGTTCAACTAGAGCCCTTCTCCGTGCCACTCTTCTTTCTGATATTTTTATTTAGACATTAGGTGTTTTATTTTCTGTAATTTAGTAATTTAAATGTTTTATATTAGTAATATTATGACTGAATATTATAGAAGAGAAATCTCGATATTATTATTGCACTAAAACATCGATAAAAAAAAAATTAATGTCGGATCCAATACTGTAATTTTTGTATCCAATCACAAGCCTGTTGTTTATAATAATAAGTATAAAGTTTATAATTATTTTTCATGAATAATAATTGGTATAAACAGATTTACATAATATAATTAAAATAGACAAACAATAAAAATGTAAAAAATATATTTATCTAAGTTTTGAAATATGCAAAGTTAATTTGCAGCTATTTTATCATCTTTCATCCAGAAAAAGAAAATGTGTACTTCAAAGAATTGGGTAAAGCATGGAATGAACTCGGATTTCAAGAAACCTTAGATACCTTAGAAACCTTAGGATTTCAAGAAAGGTACGTTTACACATTTCACAAACTATGGAAAACACGAACATGGTATTGGAATAAACTCTAGGCTAGTTTTGTACCTCTGTTTGGAACTGATCTATTTTCTCTTGTTTTTCAAGAAATCAAATGAAGTTAAGGCCATTGTTAATGTTTTATACATGTCTTTATATGAAATGAAAAATAATTTTACCATCCAGGAATTGATGTCTCTATAGAACAAATTATAACTAAATACAAAATAAACATAACAATGTGGCCATATAATAAATTAAATATTAAAAAAAAAATTAAAAATAAATGTACAAGAGAGGAAAATAAAATATATACATAGTTTATATATATATATATATATATATATATATATATATATATATATATATTATATATATATATATATATATATATATATATATATATAAACTTATAGTATATATAAAAATATAGTATTCTTATTTATATTCAGAGATCATTATATAGAAAAATTTTCCTAGAATTTTATGATGTCCGAAACCTGATATATGAGACAAATGATAAAAAATAGTCATGAGTTCATGTCCTGTTTCCAGGGAGTCTTTTAAATCTCCACCCACATCCTCTGCCCTGGGAAAACCCCGTATGGCCTTAAAGGCGAGGAAGGAAAAACAAAAAAAAAAATGTTTGAGGATTGGGACCTCATGTTGAATGAATGAACAGAGGAACAAGGAGTAAAGAAATCAAGAAGGCAAGAAGGTTTTTGGTTTAATGGTTCGGAAAAGGAATACACAATTGATTAGTCTCTAAAGAATATAGCTCCTCATTACTGCGAATCCTCGCACAACTATAATATATACCTTTTGTATATATTATATATATATACAACTATAATATATACAAAAGGTATATATTATAGTTGTGCGAGGATTCACAGTAATGAGGAGCTATATTCTTTAGAGACTAATCAATTGTGTATTCCTTTTCCGAACCATTACAACCAAAAACCTTCTTGCCTTCTTGATTTCTTTACTCCTTGTTCCTCTGTTCATTCATTCAACATGAGGTCCCAATCCTCAAACATTTTTTTTTTTTGTTTTTCCTTCCTCGCCTTTACGGCCATACGGGGTTTTCCCAGGGCAGAGGATGTGGGTGGAGATTTAAAAGACTCCCTGGAAACAGGACATGAACTCATGACTATTTTTTATCATTTGTCTCATATATCAGGTTTCGGATATCATAAAATTCTAGGAAAATTTTTCTATATAATGATCTCTGAATATAAATAAGAATATTTAGGTCATGATAAAATAGTTACGTATCTACTTTTAGACCTTAGCCTAGTCAGCTAATCGAATTTTCTTAATGGATTTTAGTTTAAATATTTTATTCATTCATATATCTTATTTTTATTTTTTTTTTTTTAACTTTTATTATGATATTTACAACTGTATTAGTATGAATACATCAAGTAAATGTGTACAGAGGAATAAAATAACATGAAATACGCTAGTTGAGAAACTACCCATTCGTAGCATAGCACTCTAATTTTATTAATTAAAATTTTTTTTACTTCAAATTGTTGGAGGAGGGCGAAACGATATTCTTGCCCCTCAACATTTAAAATCTATCAGTGAACTGACTCAGGAAATAGCCGATGGTACAAAGACCTGACCTCCTTGAAAACTCCGATCATTTAGCCTTAAAGATTGTGTTGTAAGAAAAAAAAAATCGCATATTCAAATATCAAAAAAATAGTTTTCTTACCAAGAAAAAATAGTTTTCTCCGTTTACAGTGTATTGGTCCGCTGGTTTATGGCGCAAATTTTTAAGGCTGTTATGGAATTTTGAATTAAGTATTACTTTTAAAATATCGTTGATTAAAATTTAACTGAGTTTTGTTGTTGAAATAATGTATTTTTTATATCTAAGCAAACTATAGATAATACTTTTTAAAAAATGTCATGTTGAGAAAAATAATGTAAAATTACAATCCGAAGCTTAGCGGTAACTTCGGTAAGTCTTTAATTAGTATTTTATTAAGGGACTAACCAACTAACTCTCAACCACTGGTTTGGTGAGCTTACATTGGAAGTTCAAAACTGGACCAGACGATTCCCTCAAATTTCATTGGACAAAACCAGCATAAATTCTCGAATTACCTAGACCTTCCAAATACCTGTACCTTTTGATGTCAAAGTAATTATGATATAAAATTTAACAGATGATGATTATTACTTAAAAATTTACAAATAATCAACTTTGAATGAACACTTACAGAATCGCTAAAGTATGGAGAAAATGGTCAAATCACTGATACTAAAGAACACTGGGATAAGCAGATTATGTCCTTGAAGAACATTAATGAGAATAAAACAGTATAGTTACAATGAATATTTCATATAATATTTTAATCAAATGCAAATATGAAGGAACTATTTTTAGTTATGCAGATCTCAAGAAAAGAAGACATATATATGGTCTCACCCATTTGGCCTGGGTGGATATACAAGCTGTCTTACTTCCTAATGGCCAAATTCTGGGAGGTTATTCTACCTCCTTCTACCTTATACCTCTCGAACAAACCTCTTCCCCTGCCATATGGCAGTTAGTCAAGGTAGGAGATAATCAAGAAAAAAAAGTGTACAGTCTTCTTCCAAATTTTCTACCATTCTACTTTTGCTTGCTATGTTTTTAAGAAGAGTAGAGCAATCATAAGTCATGGAAGGGGGAGAGGCATTCGCCAACAACCATTAGAAGGACACCTCTGAACCTATTACTGGTTCTAGTAATGGTAATGGTGAGGGACACACCTAGCAAGCAGACGTGTGTTGTTAACTTATCTTTCTTCTGTCTCTGTCTTAAACCGGTTCTCCTAATGATCTTCAAAAGAGAATGAAAATGGAAGAAGCATTTTGTTCTAAGATTCTACCCGAGCAAACAAGTCTGTATCAAAGCGACACAAATTGGTCACATTATGTTCCAACATATCACATGGTCTCAATTTTTAAATCAAATTAATAAAAACAAAATTTTCTTATATGTAGAAAAAATTGGTATAAAAGAAAACAAGATGAATAAATTAAAAAATGTGATGAACTATTAATGAAAATGATGATTTATTATAGTTCATAATTTTTCAATAGATATAGAGGCCAGGGCTGGCACAGTTATAAATAAAACAAGTAAAAATTAAAAAAAAAAATCATGTTCTTTTCTAAATGACAATTATTAATTATTAAAACATAAATAAAATTAAATAAGTAAGAAAATAACATACCTTGATGTTGGAGGCTGTGTTCAGAACAAGCTGCAACAGGATAACACAACACCAATGCACTGATAATTTAATTTGTCGTCACTCCCGAAAATTTAAACACTAAGTTAAATCACAATACAGTAGAGCATCGGTTATCTAGATGACTATCAACAAGACCATCAGTAATCATCCAGACTAATCTTGTTAAATATATATTTATTTATGTGAAATTAAGTTTAGTTTGAAATACTTTTCTTAATTCAAAAATTAAACCAAACAAAAATTGAAAACAGAAAACTCGGCTATTAAACACAAATTTTAATTACTTATTAGTGTAAACAATTTTATAATAAACTACTTATCTTTCAGTCAAATAAACCGTACTTTACACGTAAATTTAATTATTATTTTTAATATTAATTAAAAACATGTAATTTTATTAATTCTTGATCATTTTCTTAAGTCAGACAAATGTCACCAAATTGTTCACTGTAATTATTCTTAGGGGACTAAATGTTCCAGAATAAGATTTATTTTTCTTCTTTCTTCTTCTTTCTTCTTCTTTTTCTTCGTCTTCTTAAATTAAATGTTATGATCAAAATTAAATAATTTAATAAAATGGGTCTATACATTGTTGTTTCCCATTATCCTTTGACCCCAGGATTTTTTTGTATTTTAAAATTGAATGGACACATAAAAAGTTATAGAATTTTTAAAAATATAATTATGTACAAATGTCAATATTATAATGTTTGAAGATTTAAATAACAACATATTAATTATTTCCTGGGTTCTTATTTATTCCTAATTCCAAATTTAATATTTATTTATAATGGCATCGATTATTTGGAAAAGAACTGGTTTGATCAGTTGAGACAATCGATGCTCTACTGTAATTTAAAACGCACGGGAATTTACTTCTCAAACAGATTCATATAAACATTCCTGAAAAATAAGGAAAGGTGTAAATAATTTATTAATATAAGTCTAAATAAATTGAAATAGTTAAGATTTGTATTTTACTAATTTATTAAAATAAATAAATTTGAGACATGTGCATTTAATTGTCTCATTAAATTCAAACCCTGAACTGGTATGCACTGCCCTTTACAGAGCATAAATTTTAAACATTGATGTTTCCTTAATCAGTCACAAGAGCTCGCTAAAATTAAAGTATGACAAGTTGTAGGAAAATCAGTGTTAATTTGTTGATTATTTTGGATCTTCCAATTTATACTGTACAGCTATATCGGTGTTTCATCACTAATAACCATATAATTTATATTTTTTTAGTTATTACAATAAGTAAAACCATTAGAAGCTGTTTTTTAAAATATTTTATGATTTACGTTTCTCTTTGACAGTTTTGTAGTTTTTAAGCACATAATCACGGAAGCAAACCATTTGCTATGGTACATTAGAAATTGTTTAAAAAAAAAAAAAAAGAACTACGCTCTTTTTATGACTATATACCAGCAGCTTCTCTTCAAAAGTTACATTGCAAATGGCTCAGTAGATAAGTCAGGTGCTGGTGATTAACAATAAAAATAGAAAAACGATTTTTAAAATAGACTTTATTGAAGTAAGGGAACTTTTAATTTAAAAAAAATTAACAAGTTGTAAAAGTTCTTAATAAGAAATATAAATGTTAAGCAAAGGTGATATGTTGAACTATATTTCATTGAATCGTGCTTAATAATTTGATGAATATGATAATGATCAAGGCCACTAAAATATTTAAAAATCTAAAATGGTAGAACAATTTT